TGGAAGAGAAACACAGGCGGGAACTGGATGTTCAAAAATCTAAACTAGAGCATTTACAAGTAGAAAAGGAAAGGCAAGCTGCACGTGCAAAATTTGAGACTTATGACAAGGAATTGAAAGGTGATATGGAAAGTCAGCTAATGTTACAGAACTATGGGACTTCTTTTCTCAACAATAATTTTGCACAACCAGCCCCAGTGCTCTCTACAGGTTCATATATCCCACCTGTGCAACAAAATGCATCCATTCCCCTCATCAACTCTCCACGACAACCACACTCTCAAATTGCCACTCCATTACCTCCAACAGACATTTCTCTGCTGGCTAAAGCTATCCAAGATACCATAGCTGTAAGCAGAATCCCAGTACCAGTGCCCGTCATATTCAGTGGAGATCCCATAACCTTCATTGAATGGAAGTCTTCCTTCAGCTCACTAGTGGACTGTAAAAGTATACCTCCTGCTGAAAAACTGCACTTATTAAAAAGATACATTACTGGTCCTGCACTTAAGTGTCTTGAAGGAACATTTTATCGTAGTGATGAAGAGGCATATGAAGATGCATGGAAAAGACTTGATCAGCGCTATGGTCAGCCATTTGTTGTCCAAAAGGCATTTAGAGACAAACTGTCTAAGTGGCCTAAAATCCACCCAAAGGATGCAGAAGGTTTAAGGACATTTTCTGATTTTCTCACAACCTGTCTTCAAGCAACACCACATGTAAAGGGCTTGGAGATACTAAGCGACTGTGAGGAAAACCAAAGGTTACTGCAAAAGATTCCTGAATGGGTTGCAACACGTTGGAATCGTCAAGTCACAGTTGCTCTCATGGAAGGTAAAACTTTCCCTTCTTTCAAGGATTTTGTTGAGTTTGTAGCACTTGAGGCGGAAATTGCTTGCAATCCTGTGACTTCTTCATATGCACTCCATTCGTGTGGCTCATCTTCAGAAAATAGACACACAAAGGAGATTAAACCAAACAGATCAACAACTCAAGTCTTTACAACACAAGCTACAATGCATGAAGATAAAACAAAGTCAAATTACACAAGATTAAAGGTAGCTTGCATGTTCTGCAAAGATGAGGACCATCAGTTGTCAAAGTGCCCAAGCTTCACAGAAAAGTCACTCGATGACAAACGGACATTTGTAAAGGAAAATAAACTTTGCTACGGGTGCTTAAAAGTGGGCCATAATGCCAAAGACTGTCATCATCGCCACACATGTGACTTGTGCAAAAAACGGCATCCTACTTGTTTGCACAATGAAAATCATAAACCAAATGAAAGACCCCAGAACTCAACAAGCATCACTCCAACCACAGAAAATGGTACTACGGCAGCCACAGCTCTAAATGTTACAAAGGTGGGTCAAACAGGTAGTACCTCCATGATAGTTCCTGTATGGGTTTCTACTGCCCAGAACCCATCTAAAGAGCAGCTAGTGTACGCTTTATTAGACACACAAAGTGACAACACATTTGTCAGTGAAGAATTATTCAATCAGTTGCAAGCAGACTCCCATCCAGTAAAGCTAAAGCAAACCACAATGCTGGGAGTTCACATGACGGTCAAAAGTCAGAGAGTAGCAGGGCTACGAGTGAGAGGTTATGCTTCAGATGTTCACATTGACCTCCCACCGTCTTACACAAAGGATTATATCCCATTTAACTATGATAACATACCTACGAGTGAAACCGCAAAGCGATGGCTTCATCTGTCAGAGATTGTTGATAAAGTACCTCCTCTCTTGAGCTGTGATGTTGGACTACTCATTGGATTTAACTGTCCCAGAACTCTAGCTCCAAAACAGGTTATACTTGGAAAGGATGATGAACCATTTGCAATCCAGACAGATCTGGGATGGAGCATTGTTGGTGGCTTAACATCGGAGTCAAATGAATCTGAAACAAGTTTTTGCCACAAAGTTATGGTAAAGGAACTGCCTCCAGTAACACCAGTGGATGTAATTAATGTTCTGGAATCAGATTTCAAAGACACAAAGGAAAACGAAAAAACAGTCTCACAAGAGGATCTCATTTTTTTGGACAAACTCAAGGAGGGAATAAAGAAGAGCAAACAAGGACACTATGAGATGCCTCTTCCATTCAAACAAAGGCCATATTTACCATACAACAAAAGGCTTGCAGAAATCAGACTGGAACACTTAAAGCGAAAGTTTAATAAGGATGAAAACTACAAAAGGGACTATGTTGCATACATGAACGAAATAATAGAAAGAGGAGATGTGGAAGAAGTATACACTGAAGGAGTACCTGGTGAACAATGGTACATTCCCCATCATGGGATTTACCACCCCAGAAAGCCCACAAAACTGCGTGTCGTATTTGACTGTTCTGCCAAACACAGTGGAACAAGTCTCAATAATCATCTCCTCCAAGGGCCAGACTTGACTAACAACCTGACAGGCATTCTCTTGAGGTTCAGGCAACATTCTATTGCTTTAATGTGTGATGTAGAAAAGATGTTCCATCAGTTTCATGTCAATGAGAAGGACAGAGATTATCTACGGTTCCTCTGGTGGAAAAATGGTGATACAAGCACACAACCTCAAACCTACAGAATGAAGGTACACCTTTTTGGTGCAGCGTCATCTCCAGGCTGTGCAAATTATGGACTCAAGTACTTAGCAAAAGAACACTTCCACTCACATCCAGCAGGTTCACAGTTCATAGAGAAAGACTTTTATGTTGATGACGGAGTAACAAGCACAAAAACAGTAGAAGGAGCAATCCAATTAGCACAAGAAGCCAGAGAAATTTGCAACAAAGGCAACCTTCGTCTCCACAAGTTCATTTCTAATGATCAGACTGTTTTACAATCCATCCCTCCATCAGAATGTGCTGTAAACCCTAATACAAGAGACTTGACATTCAATGACTTGCCGCAAGAAAGAGCTCTAGGGATTCAGTGGAACATTAAAAGGGACTGTTTCAAATTTGACAACATACTAAGTGTCCAGCCAGCCACACGCAGATGCATTCTGTCTACTGTTGCGTCAATCTATGACCCATGTGGATTCTTAGCGCCATATGTTTTAAATGGAAAGAAAATCTTGCAAGAAATGTGCCAGTATGGTATTGGATGGGACGACTCCCTACCACACACACTTATGCCAAGGTGGGAGAGTTGGCAAAGTGACCTTGTAAATCTAGACAAGATAGGCATTCCTCGCTGTTATTTTCCTGCTAGCTTTGGTGAACCTAAAGAAATAGAGTTACACCACTTTTCGGATGCAAGCTCAAGTGGTTATGGACAATGTAGCTATTTGAGAGCAAAAAATGCTAAAGATGAAATATACTGCTCTCTGGTAATTGCAAAGGCACGAGTTGCTCCAACTAAACTGACCACGATCCCCAGACTAGAACTAACGGCGGCTACAATTTCAGTCTCAGTCAGCAACATGTTACGGGACGAACTGAGTTATGATGTGAAAGAATATTTCTGGACTGACTCAAAGGTTGTACTGGGCTACATAAACAATGATGTACGCCGTTTTCACACCTTTGTAGCCAACAGGATCCAAAGAATCAGACAAAGTACGAGCCCTCAGCAATGGTTTTATGTGCCATCAGAAGTGAACCCGGCTGACAGAACTTCAAGAGGTGCAACTATCAATGAGTTAATTAAGTCTAACTGGTTCACTGGGCCTACCTTTTTATGGGAAAATGAACTACCCACACCACAAACTGTTGAGCTAGATCTGACCATAGAGGATCCAGAAGTCAGAAAGATGCAGATAATGCTAACAAAAGTCACACACGTTGTGAGTCTTGCTGAACGCTTGAGTAAGTTCTCGTCCTGGTCAAAAGCAATCAAAGCTGTTGCACATCTAATAAGAAGGGCCAGACACATCAAGTCAAATGCAACAGCTACAGTGAGTGAACAGAAAAATGCTGAACTTGTGATCATTCGTGATGTACAAAATCAAACATATGGACTGGAAATAAAACTACTAAACAAAGACAAACAGCTCCCACATCACAACAAACTGTTTAAACTGGATATCTTTATGGATAAAGATGGTCTCCTAAAGGTCGGAGGAAGACTCCAACATGCAGCAAGTGACACTTTCAAACACCCGATTGTGATTCCAAAAGATCACTATGCAGCCAAGCTCATTATATCTCACTGTCATGACAAAGTAAAACACCAAGGAAAAGGATTCACCATTAATGAAATCAGATCTAGTGGCTACTGGATTCCTGGAATGAGTAAAACAGTTGCTTCATTCATCCGTCAGTGTGTGACCTGCCGCAGACTTCGCAATATTCCAGAGGGTCAGAGAATGAGTGACCTACCTCCACAACGCTTGGAGCCCTCTCCTCCCTTCACACAATGCGGCATGGACTGTTTTGGTCCATTTATGACCACAGAGGGAAGAAAACAACACAAAAGATATGGACTCTTATTTACTTGCTTTTGTTCTCGTGCTATTCACATTGAGCTATTAGAGGACTTGTCCACTGATGCATTTATTAATGCATTAAGGTGTTTCATTTCAATCAGAGGTGCAGTCCAACAAATCCATTGTGACCAGGGAACAAACTTTGTTGGTGCTCAAAATGAATTTAAGGCAGCTTTAAATGAGCTTGACACTCTGAGACTTAGCACTTACTTGTCTGACAAACAGTGTGACTTTGTGATGAATGCACCCCACTCTAGTCATGCAGGAGGAGTGTGGGAACGCCAAATAAGGACTGTCAGAAGTGTTTTGAACATTACTCTGTCACTGGCTCAAAGTAGACTCAATGATGCTTCATTAAGAACTTTTTTCTATGAAGCCATGGCTATAGTCAACAGTAGACCACTGACTGTAGATAATCTCAATAGCCCTGACAGCTTAGAACCACTTACACCCAACCATCTCCTTCACATGAAATCCAACGCACCACTGCCCCCACCTGGCACTTTTCACAAGGAGGACCTGTATTGCAGGAAACGATGGCGGCGTGTCCAGTTCCTTGCTGAACAGTTCTGGAGCCGCTGGAGACGAGAATACATTCACAACATAATTTCAAGGCAAAAATGGCACTCACCCAAAAGGAATCTAAAGGTTGGTGATGTTGTGTTGGACATGGATGAACTAGCACCTAGAGGTGAATAGAGACTTGCAAGAGTTCTAGAGACTGTCAATGGAAAGGATGGACTTGTACGAAAAGTAAAGATCTCCCTCGGAGAAAAGAGACTCAACAACAAAGGACAACGTGTTAATAAGTTATCAGTTGTAGAGCGTCCAGTACAAAAACTTGTTTTGGTGTTAGAAAGTACTTAAGTTCTTCTTGGGTCATTTTGTTTGAGAAAATTCTTCATTTCTCTTCTTATGTAAACCAGTCATTCATAATTTTGGTGGGAGTGTAACTAACCCTAAAATGACATCTTCTTTTGCTTGTATTTTAATTTGGCACAACTTGCCTTTATTTATAATCCGTTTTTATCAACTTCCTGTTCGAATGAAATGCTTTTATTTTGAAGGGTCTATTTCCTGTTCTAACAGTTAATGCAAGCTAGCTTAACAGCGATAAAACGGCCAAAGCAGCTTTGACGGAGATCTAACATGGATTTTGCTATTAGCAGCCCCCTTGATAGAGGCACAAGGTAAATTTAGTATCTTAATGTACTTATGTTTTAAATATTTTTTGTTATAAAATGGTTAGATCCAAATGCATTAATTTATCTTATAAAGCTAAGGAAATTGTAATTTATGGTGTATGTTGTAAACTGTTGTAAACTGTTAATAACAGTTGAATTGATGTAAGAGTATGGATCAATTTACATGGTTTCTTTTGTACACATCTCCAGCTCTTACGGTGAAATTGAGGGTCATCGTCATTAAATCCAAAACTTCATCAGTAAAGTGTCATCCTTCATTCGGGGGGGTATGCTATATATATATAGCTATATATATATATATATATATATATATATATATATATATATATATATATATATATCAGTAATGGGGATGGCCAATATAGCTATATATATATATATATATGGAGATATATATAGCTATATATATATATATATATGTATATATATATATATATATAGCTATATATATATATATACATATATATATATATGTATATATATATATATATATATAGCTATATATATATATATATATTTATATATATATATATATATTGTGACCGGGTGGAATGTGGTAATATATATATATTTATTTATATTTATATATATATCAGTAATGGGGATGGCCAATATATCGGCATCAATATCGGTATTGGCTGGTGTTAGTCACTTTTTAACATATCGGGATCGGTCTGATAAATAAAGCTGGCCCGATATTAATAACCAATATTTTTTCCATCTGGTCTCCATTCGTTTGCCTTTTTCAGAGGGTGTGTGTGTGTGTGTGTGTGTGGGGGGGGGGGGGGGGGTTTAATTGTTAAGTCATGTGAACAGTGATTGTAATAATCTCAGAAATGTAAATGTGTGTGTTGTGTGTACATAATAACGTAAATTCAGCTTCAATTATTTTCATTCAATACAAAATCTGCTGATTTTAGAAGCAGTCATATCAGTATATCGGTATCGGTTATCAGCCATAACGTGATCAAAATAGCGGGTATCAGTCCAAAAATTCTTTATGAGCTGTCCCGCTGGGAGGGTTTGAAACACCGCCATCCTCTGCTGGAGACCGTGGTGCGCTGCTGCGCCCTGGTTGTTTATTCTGTTATTGTTACCGGTACTTTTCTTGCAACGTGAAACGCTTGGTCTCAGATTTTGTAAGAAAAATAATAAAATTTCCCCCCAAAATACGACCAGTGTGACTTATGTTTTTTTCTTCTTCATTATACATTTTATGGTGCGACTTATACTCCAGAAAATACGGTAACAGTTTTTAGGGATGCCATTTGAGTGGGTGGGCCCTGGTAAGAATAGCCACGCCCCTGTAACGGTACATGATAGGATCATCACTTTAACGGATTTCTAAACAATCATACATAATTTCTGAAAGGGGAAAACTCCGGAACGCTACTTTAATGATGGTTGAAAACCCAGATCGTAACGGCGGTTCAAATTCAATAATCAACCGTCTCTAGATAGACCCAATAAAACAAGAGACCTGCTGTCACTTAGCCTTTCGTCTAAAGCTAGAGTAAAAACGAGTCTTCAGGCAAGTCTTGGAGGTGTAGGTCAGGGTGAAGCGAAGGTGACATGAGGTCATTCCACACTATCTGGGCCAGGATTAAAGGCACGCCCCCCTTCCCATTCTAACAGATGGGAATGCCCACAGACCCTATCAGGATGACCGAAGGAGCCGAGGGCCGGTACAAACAGCAGACCATCTGTGGTCGTAAAGGTTTACTTTCTAGGTGTAGGGTGTCACCTGTTCCAGGTATCATCTTACTAATAACGTGAGCAGACAAACGCACAACCGGGAGTGGGAGGAGTCTAACTCAGACTGAAAACACTCCTGATCTTCCAGCTCTCCACTCACTCTGAAGGTCCTGGAGGTTTGGACCACAGGACCCCTGGTTCAGGAGCAGGACAGCGTACCTGGAGCAGGCAGTGGACGCAGCGGCGCTGGCGCTGGGACTTGGTGCAGCTGGGTGGGATCATGTCCTGCTGCTCCTCCGTCACTCCCAGAGTGAACTGGAACACAGGAGACAGAAACCAGAACCACATCTAAACAAGGTGGACCCAAACCCCATCTGCTCCCCTGAGCCTGGCTCATCCCTTGAGTTAGAGCCTCCTGGGCCTCAACAATTCATAGATCAATGTTCAAACATTCTTCAGGAAATGTTCTGGTACCAAAACGGAAATCGGCTTAAGTCCAAAGGAAAATTACTTCAGAAAGTCTGGAAAAGCTCTGATCCAGAACCGTCTCTGGACTGTCCAGAACCCCTGATCCAGACATGGAGTTCTGGTTTTAGTCATCACACCTGACCCATCCCCGTGGGGAGCGGGAACTGGGTCCCACTGGTACACCCGACCTGGGTGAACCAGGACGGACCACTGGGCCACTAGGCTGTTCTGGACACCATCAAACCCGGTTCTGACCCACCCCGCCCCTTTGCTCTGGTTCCGGTTCACCTGTAGGTCGCGCTCATCAGACAGGACGAAGCCCGGGTCCATGAGGGAAACCGCGAAGTAAAGCAGCACCGACACCAGAACCAGAAGCACGAACAGAACCGGCTGAACCAGCTGGCCCGTCTCCTCCTGCTTTCTGAGCTCTGTGAACAGAACACATGCTGTTGATCCGAACCGCGGACCCGGTTCTGCTGCCATGGAAACGGACCCACCTGTGTCATGAAGGAACAGAATCAACGTGACGACCCAGGTCAGGATGACGTGAGCCGTCCTCACCACGAACCCCGAACCGAACACATTTTTAAACATGGTCCTAGCATATTACATCACCCAGCGGAACGTCCGCACGGACCAGAGAACCCAACGGAACCGAGCCGCTAATCGGTAGACCGTTAGACGGGTCTGGACCGCGCGGTTCCGTTCACATGAACCACCAAATGCGCCGGAATAATAAAGCAAACGTTTTTTGTTGTTGTTTATGGCGGGAATCCGTCAACATTCCACCGTTAGCGGCGAGTCGACGCCAGCTTCGTTCCGATGGATTTGTCATCCGTTCAGACAACTGGATTGGTCAGCATCAGTCACGTGAAGGCTTCATTTAGAGGAAGGAAGGGCTTGGAAGGAAAGCTGCTAGGCCGCCATCTTACTGGAGTCACTTTTAAACTTTAGCTAAAAGGGCTTCATGAGTAAAAGTATGGGGTGCCATTTGTAAAGTCAAACAGTCATAATCTAACAGCAATAATTTTGGTTATTTAGCATATTACAAGAGAAGAAATTGGGAGTTCACTTGTTCTAAGTCATATTTTCACCATGTTATTCATACATTTATAAATGTTAAAGTTTCCAAATAAATATTTAGTTAGCAAGCTAAATATTTAATTTGTAGTTAAATATTTATTTTGCAAGCTAAATATTTAGGTCTGATCTAAATATTTAGTTTGTAAAATAAATATTTAGTTCACTAACTAAATATTTAATTTACTAATTAAATATTTATTTTGGAACTAAATATTTAATTTGTAAATTAAATATTTATTTTGGAACTAAATATTTAATTTGTAAATTAAATATTTATTTTCCGAACTAAATATTTAATTTGTAAATTAAATATTTATTTTCCTAAATAAATATTTAGATCCCAGCTAAATATTTATTTTGGAGCTAAACATTTAGTTTGCAAAATCAGTATTTGAGAAATAAATATTTAAGTCTGACCCAAAAATATAAAATATAGTGTGGAGCTAAATAACATCGTGGAAAATAAATATTTAGCTGGTACTTAAACATTTAGCTAATATGCAAATTTGCTTGCCAATAAGCGGAAGTTGGTTACCAAAATAAATGCTGTATCTCGCTAACTTCTTTATAAACTCTTGCTCCGAACCAGAACTTGTTTTATCTCCGGTTCTATTCTTCTTCAGCCAACACGTCGGACATGTTCAGAAGAATAGAACCGGAGATACAACAAGTTCTGGTTCGGAGCAAGAGTTTATAAAGAAGTTAGAGAGATCCGGCATTTATTTTGGTAACCAACTTCCGCTTATTGGCAAGCAAATTTGCATATTAGCTAAATGTTTAAGTACCAGCTAAATATTTATTTTCCACAATGTTATTTAGCTCCACACTATATTTTATATTTTTGGGTCAGACTTAAATATTTATTTCTCAAATACTGATTTAGCAAACAAAATGTTTAGCTCCAAAATAAATATTTAGCTGGGATCTAAATATTTATTTTGGAAAATAAATATTTAATTTACAAATTAAATATTTAGTTCCAAAATAAATATTTATTTTACAAACTAAATATTTAGATCAGACCTAAATATTTAGTTTGCAAAATAAATATTTAACTACAAATTTAATATTTAGCTTGCTAACTAAATATTTATTTGGAAACTTTAACATTTATAAATGTGTGAATAACATGGTGAAAATATGACTTCAAAAAAGTGAACTCCCAATTTTTTCTCTTATGATATGCTAAATAACCAAAAATATTTCTGTTAGATTATGACTGTTTGACTTTACAAATGGCACCCCATATAAAAGCTACGTTCCATCAGCTAACAGGCCCGATAATACAGGTGCTGGCCAGTAAATTAGAATATCATCAAAAGGTTGAAAATATTTCAGTAATTCCATTCAAAACGTGAAACTTGTACATTATATTCATGCAATGCACACAGACCAATGTATTTCCAATGTTTATTACGTTTAATTTTGATATTTATAGGTGACAACCAATGAAAACATCAAATCTGGTATCTCAGAAAATTAGAATATTCTAAAGGCCAATGAAAAAATGTTTGTTTCTCTAATGTTGGCCAACTGAAAAGAATGAACATGAAAAGAATGTGCATGTATAGCACTCAATACTTAGTCGGGGCTCCTTTTGCTTCAATAACTGCAGTAATGCGGCGTGGCATGGACTCGATCAGTCTGTGGCACTGCTCAGGTGTTATGAGAGCCCAGGTTGCTCTGATAGTCGTCTTCAGCTCCTCTGCATTGTTGGGTCTAGCGTATTGCATCCTCCGCTTCACAATACCCCATAGATTTTCTATGGGGTTAAGGTCAGGCGAGTTTGCTGGCCAATCAAGGACAGGGATACCATGGTCCTTGAACCAGGTGCTGGTGGTTTTGGCACTGTGTGCAGGTGCCAAGCCCTGTTGAAAGGTGAAGTCTGCATCCCCATAAAGTTGGTCAGCAGCAGGAAGCATGAAGTGCTCTAAAACTTCCTGGTAGACGGCTGCATTGACCCTGGACCTCAGGAAACAGAGTGGGCCAACACCGGCAGATGACATGGCACCCCACACCATCACTGACGGTGGAAACTTTACACTGGACCTCATGCAACGTGGATTCTGTGCTTCTCCGCTCTTCCTCCAGACTCTGGGTCCTTGATTTCCAAAGGAAATGCAGAACTTGCTTTCATCAGAAAACATAACTTTGGACCACTCAGCATCAGTCCAGTCCTTTTTGTCCTTGGCCCAGGCGAGACGCTTCTTGCGCTGTTTCATGTTCAAGAGTGGCTTGACACACGGAATGCGACACCTGAATCCCATGTCTTTCATGAGTCTCCTCGTGGTGGTTCTTGAAGCGCTGACTCCAGCTGCAGTCCACTCTTTGTGGATCTCCCCCACATTTTTGAATGGGTTTGTCGTCACAATTCTCTGCAGGGTGCGGTTATCCCTAGAGCTTGTACACTTTTTTCTACCACATTTTTTCCGTCCCTTTGCCTGTCTGTTAATGTGCTTGGACACAGAGCTCTGCGAACAGCCAGCTTCTTTAGCAATCACCTTTTGTGTCTTGCCCTCCTTGTGCAAGGTGTCAATGATTGTCTTTTGGACAGCTGTTAAGTCAGAAGTCTTCCCCATGATTGTGGTGCCTTCAAAACAAGACTGAGGGACCTTTTAAAGGCCTTTGCAGGTGTTTTGAGTAAATCAGCTGATTAGAGTGGCAGCAGGTGTCTTCTATATTCAGCCTTTTCAGAATATTCTAATTTTTTGAGATACCAAATTTGGAGTTTTCATTAGTTGTCACTTATGAATATCAAATTTAAATGTAATGAACATTGGAAATACATTGGTCTGTGTGCATTGCATGAATATAATGTACAAGTTTCACGTTTTGAATGGAATTACTGAAATATTTTCAACCTTTTGATGATATTCTAATTTACTGGCCAGCACCTGTACATTGCATCTGTTTTGCGTTTTACATCATAAAAATCTCCAACTGCTTACAGAATTTTAGGTCATATGTTCAAATGGTAACACGACTGAAAGATTACGCGTTTTTAGTCATTTCTTAACAGTTTTGTGTTCTCACTGCAAAGATGTTACATTATAATCATGAATACAAAAATACCAAAACAGCCTCACTGAAGATATTTAATTCTATGTGAGTTTGTGTAGATTCTATCATCCAGGACATGATCACCTCGAGTTTTATTTGAAAACCACTGGACTCGGTTGTCCTGACGATATTTTGTCTCTCATACAAAAAGCCTTTTCAGTTCAACAAGTTGGGTTGTGAGTCAGAAGCTTAGAAGATGTGATCAAAGAGCTATATGAAGGGGCAACAGAGGTCGTAAAAGTTCGTAATTAGCATGACTACACATCAGAAATTGGCACGTCGCATATGTGACGTCATGACATAAGCTCCTCCCCCCGGCGTAGCTGCTACTCACCACATGACCAGATTTATGGTGGTTCTTTCCTCCTGTGGGAAGTTTGCTGAACTTACAGCCCTTTTCCCTCAGGTTTCTCCGTGTCTGGTTCGATGACATCACTGTGGTGAAGCGCATTTGTAGTCCTTGACTTGTTTTCACACAGAACCTAAAATATAATTTCCCCGTTCGAAAATAAGCGCATTCTTTGTATCAAAATGTGTCTTTAAAATTCATGGACATCATGTGAAATCCATGGCACAAAACAAGCGGAATTAGAAAATAATTGGAGGAGGAGGATCAGCACCTCCAAATCTGAGACCATGGTTCTCGGCCAGAAAAGGGTGGCTTGCCAACTCCGGGTCGGGGGAGAGGTCCTACCTCAAGTGGAGGAGTTTAAGTATCTCGGGGTCTTGTTCACGAGTGAGGGTAGGAGGGATCGGGAGATCGACAGGCGGATTGGTTCAGCGTCTGCAGTGATGCAGACGCTGAGCCGATCTGTCGTGGTGAAGAGGGAGCTGAGCCAGAAAGCCAGGCTCTCGATTTACCGGTCAATCTACGTCCCAATCCTCACCTGTGGTCATGAGCTTTGGGTAATGACTGAAAGAACGAGATCGCAGATACAAGCGGCCAAAATGAGTTTCCTCCGTTGGGTGGCCGGGCTCAGCCTTAGAGATAGGGTGAGGAGCTCGGACATTCGGGAGGGACTCGGAGTAGAACCGCTGCTCCTCCGGATCAAAAGGAGCCAGTTGAGGTGGTTCGGGCATCTGCTCAGGATGCCTCCTGGACGCCTCCCTGGGGAGGTGTTTCTGGCATGTCCTGCCGGCAGGAGGCTCCAGGGTCGATCCAGGACACGGAGAGGTTACATCTCCAATCTGGTCCGGGAACGCCTCGAGGTCCTGCCGGAGGAGCTGGTGGAGAAGGCCGGGGAGAGGACGGTCTGGAGCTCCCTAGTTGGGATGCTGCCCCCGCGACCCGGACCCGGATAAGCGGAGGAAGACGATGACGACTTACGCTCATTTTTTTGTTCTTCCGGGGACCCGTGGTCCGGAAGTAGATGGGCGTGGCTTAGGATCCCTACATCCTTGCTGTGCATTCATGTTTTTAACACCTTAATCTGATAGCTGAATTTTCTCTCCAGCCTCCTTCGCTAGGGTCTAAAGGAGCGATTAAAAATTAAAGAAATAAAAAATTAGCAGTGTTCACGATCTAAAACATGCAAGAAAAGTGCTGGAACTTGACTACAGTGCCAGGTATGTCAGCTCAATTTATTTCTAAGTCCAATAAATTGGACCGGCACTCTGAAGCTGCATATGCAGTCTTCTGGCCACAGATGGCAGTGGGGGGGGGTAGCCTGACCAGCCAGCCCCATGCTTCCTTATGGGGCTGGGAACACACACACACTAAAAGCATTTCTTCTAAGGAAAGGTGTTTGCGCCGTTGCCAGACGCGATTTTTGATTACATTTAAAGAACTAGAGCGTTGCGCGGTACAGTCGGCATTTCTGCCTTTTTTTTTTTGATTGGTTAACTTTGAGCTGGCTAGTCCCGCCCCTCAGCCTGTGAGGATCCAGACTAGTCTGAGTAGAGGACGAGTCTGGCGGTCTGAGCGACATGTCATTAACCCTGTAAGGGTCGTTTCAGCACATACTGGCTCAGGAAAATGATTTACAAATATAAAAAAAGTGTTTCTTGAAGATAGTTGATTTAGCTGAAAATAAAACCCAAAATTCTTATTAAACATTCTTTTGGGATTCAACTTTGCCTTAAATAAAGCAAGTTTATTCACAGAATGATGTGAGAGCCTTTAAATCAAAGTTAGTAAAATGTTTATTTCATGTTTTCATTTGTTGGTTATAAACAGTTTTGTAAGAATTCCCGTCTTTCATCTCTGATCCCCAATCAGCGTTCAAGTTCAGATTTTCCATCAGATGAGTTCATACTTATTTCCACTGAAGCATCTCCAGGGTCAGATGAGACAGACTGACCTGACCTCTGACCTGACTATATGAGCTCTACTGTTCCTGCGGCTCTTCAACTCGTTTCTCATCCAGGATAAATGGAGTGCTTATCCTTTTCCCTTTGAGCAGCTGCTCCAGGCCCTGGAATCAAACACAGTTCATGTTCAGCATTTCTGAGATGCAGATCAAACGTATTTGCTGTGTTTGGTTTGATCATCAGGCTGTGGTTTCACTGCTGATGTCCTTCACCTCTCCGAAGTACGAGACCAGAGGGGAGATCTCACACTCAGCAGGATGCTGATCAGCTGATGAACTGTGGAGGGAAAACAGACGTGTTTTACTTTAGTTACTCAGACTGAATCATTTAACAGATCCGGATTAAGTTAATACAGCCGATAATTAAAAATGAATAAATCTCGGTCCTGATCTCCATCCGTCTATTTTCATCCGCTTATCCGGAGTCAGGGCACGGGGGCAGCAGCCTAAGCCGAGAGGCCCAGACTTCCCTCTCCCCAGCCACTTGGACCAGCTCCTCCGGGGGAATCCCAAAGCGTTCCCTGGCCAGGTGAGAGGCATAGTCCTTCCACCGTGTCCTGGGTCTACCTTTAGGTCTCCTCCCAGTTGGACGTGCCTGGAAAACCTCACCAGGGAGGCGTCCAGGAGGCATCCTGACCAGATGCTGATCTTCCTATTTTTAATCTGTTTTCCCTGCTCTGTTCACACCAGACGGGCTCTTAATGACTTGAATTTTGTCTTCGATGCAGACTTTACCTCCTCCTGTCTTTAGAGGTTGATGTGTCTATATATCTGGGATTTCACCCGCAAACACTCTTAAAAGTTTGCATCGCGTATCGTTAGCATTGTGTTTGTTTTTGCCACCTAGCCACTCGAGCATGCGCGCCAAGATGAAAACATGCCAAAGAGCCTCCTACAGATACTCTCCTCATGCCTGCGGCGCTACATCCTTATCTGTAAAGCTGGGCGAACACTGGACGACTTTTTCACTTAGATCTGGCCGAGTTTTGTGTTGAGCATCGTGTGGTATACGGGGATTACGAGAGGCGATTAACACCACGTGACCAGCCACCCATCAGCAATAGTGAACTCGCACGAATTTCAGAATCAGAAGCATTTGAGGATCAGTACATTAGGAAGTTGCTGCGGTACTTGGTGCCGGAAAAATAAATGATAAGCAAAAATTAGAACGAAGAAATAAACAGAATGAAATGATAATAATACAGAGAATCAATAATTAGAGAAGCAGCTACTTTATACAAGTCAGTGTACAGGTCAGAGCGGGTCAGTTCAGGTGCGCACGCGACGCAGGGTCATGTCACTGGAACAAAGCAGCTGGAGTGGGCGGGTCTACGATTGTCGTTCACAAGTCAGATTTCTGGCGTGTTTGATATTTGCTCGTCCCTCGTGAGGGTCGCACCGGTGAAGCGACGCTGTGAGCAGCTGCGACCCAAAATCCCTCGACGTGCGTCAGCGCGGCTCGCCAGCTATGTCCCTGTTAACACACATCGGCCATTTTTATACTTTTTTTCACACACAAGTACAAGGATTGTCAAGAAAGCGTATTTATGTCAAATTAAACTGATGAAGCATTGATTTACTTTCTTTCTTTCGTTTTCCTCCAACCGTCGTAAATCCCCGCGTCCTCCTGCAGGACAACGGTCATCAGTCACAACACAAAGAAGTCCGGTGTTATGCTATTTCGAGCTTATTTGTAGGTCTGAAGTGTTGCTACCAGACGAACAGTGTAAGCAGTCGGGTCACATGCGAGCACGACTTGTGAGATTTGCTCTGCAAGCAAGTCGAACAGTTTGAGCTGCAGCTGAGTGGTACGAGTGAAAAAGCTGCATAGTGTTCGCCCGGCTTAAGTCACTCTGGATAAACCCCTCGTCCAGCTAGACATAAACATCATGTATCGCGTCTCTCTGGAGAGTCTCTGACCAAGATGCAGGTCTGATGACGGTTCCGTCTCTGTCCAACAGAGTGGCTCCAGCTGAGGAAACCCAGCGGGAATGCTGACTCAACAAAGAGTTTCTGGCAGCAGTCGGAGTGTCTGAATCTGCTCCGTCAGCGTTCTTCAGAGGAGAAAACTCGTCTTCCCTGACAACCTCGAACACAACGAAGTTCCTAAAAAACACAAATCATCCTACAGGTCAGTGACTACGGACAAATCATCCTACAGGTCAGTGACTATGGATAAATCATCCTACAGGTCAGTGACTACAGATAAATCATCCTACAGGTCAGTGACTAAGGATAAATAATCCTACAGGTCAATGACTACAGATAAATAATCATCCATGTCAGTGACTACGGAGAAATCCTACAGGTCAGTGACTACAGATAAATCATCCTACAGGTCAGTGACTACAGATAAATCATCCTACAGGTCAGTGACTACAGATAAATCATCCTACAGGTCAGTGACTACGGAGAAATCATCCTACAGGTCAGTGACTACAGATAAATCATCCTACAGGTCAGTGACTACAGATAAATCATCCTACAGGTCAGTGACTACGGAGAAATCCTCTACTGGTCAGTGACTACAGATAAATCATCCTACAGGTCAGTGACTACGGATAAAACATCCTACAGGTCAGTGACTACGGATAAATCATCTACAGGTCAGTGACTACAGATAAATCATCCTACAGGTCAGTGACTACAGATAAATCATCCTACAGGTCAGTGACTACAGATAAATCATCCTACAGGTCAGTGACTACAGATAAATCATCCTACAGGTCAGTGACTACGGATAAATCATCCTAAAGGTCAGTGACTACGGATAAAACATCCTACAGGTCAGTGACTACGGATAAATCATCTACAGGTCAGTGACTACAGATAAATCATCCTACAGGTCAGTGACAACAGATAAATCATCCTACAGGTCAGTGACTACAGATAAATCATCCTACAGGTCAGTGAGTACAGATAAATCATCCTACAGGTCAGTGACTACAGATAAATCATCCTACAGGTCAGTGACTACAGATAAATTATCTACAGGTCAGTGACTACAGATAAATCATCCTACAGGTCAGTGAGTACAGATAAATCATCTACAGGTCAGTGACTACGGATAAATCATCTACAGGTCAGTGACTACAGATAAATCATCCTACAGGTCAGTGACTACAGATAAATCATCCTACAGGTCAGTGACTACGGAGAAATCCTCTACTGGTCAGTGACTACAGATAAATCATCCTACAGGTCAGTGACTACAGATAAATCATCCTACAGGTCAGTGACTACAGAGAAATCATCCTACAGGTCAGTGACTACGGATAAAACATCCTACAGGTCAGTGAGTACAGATAAATCATCCTACAGGTCAGTGAGTACAGATAAATCATCTACAGGTCAGTGACTACGGATAAATCATCCTACAGGTCAGTGACTACGGAGAAATCCTCTACTGGTCAGTGACTACGGATAAATCATCCTACAGGTCAGTGACTACGGATAAAACATCCTACAGGTCAGTGACTACGGATAAATCATCTACAGGTCAGTGACTACAGATAAATCATCCTACAGGTCAGTGACTACAGATAAATCATCCTACAGGTCAGTGACTACAGATAAATCATCCTACAGGTCAGTGAGTACAGATAAATCATCCTACAGGTCAGTGACTACAGATAAATCATCCTACAGGTCAGTGACTACAGATAAATTATCTACAGGTCAGTGACTACAGATAAATCATCCTACAGGTCAGTGAGTACAGATAAATCATCTACAGGTCAGTGACTACGGATAAATCATCTACAGGTCAGTGACTACAGATAAATCATCCTACAGGTCAGTGACTACAGATAAATCATCCTACAGGTCAGTGACTACGGAGAAATCCTCTACTGGTCAGTGACTACAGATAAATCATCCTACAGGTCAGTGACTACGGATAAAACATCCTACAGGTCAGTGACTACGGATAAATCATCTACAGGTCAGTGACTACAGATAAATCATCCTACAGGTCAGTGAGTACAGATAAATCATCTACAGGTCAGTGAGTACAGATAAATCATCCTACAGGTCAGTGACTACAGATAAATCATCCTACAGGTCAGTGACTACAGATAAATCATCCTACAGGTCAGTGACTACAGATACATTATCCTACAGGTCAGTGACTACAGATAAATCATCCTACAGGTCAGTGAGTACAGATAAATCATCTACAGGTCAGTGACTACAGATAAATCATCCTACAGGTCAGTGACTACAGATAAATCATCCTACAGGTCAGTGACTACAGATAAATCATCCTACAGGTCAGTGACTACGGATAAATCATCTACAGGTCAGTGACTACAGATAAATCATCCTACAGGTCAGTGACTACAGATAAATCATCCTACAGGTCAGTGAGTACAGATAAATCATCCTACAGGTCAGTGACTACAGATAAATCATCCTACAGGTCAGTGACTACAGATAAATCATCTACAGGTCAGTGACTACAGATAAATCATCCTACAGGTCAGTGACTACGGAGAAATCATCCTACAGGTCAGTGACTACAGATAAATCATCCTACAGGTCAGTGACTACAGATAAATCTTCCCACAGGTCAGTGACTACGGATAAATCCTCCTACAGGTCAGTGACTACGGAATAATCATCTACAGGTCAATGACTACAGATAAATCATCTACAGGTCAGTGACTAGAGAAATCGTACAATTCAATAACTACAGGTAATCCGTACTTGGAAAATGGAAAGACATCAAAGACAAATTTTTCCATCTTGATCCCGTTTGGTTTGGTGGGTTTCACCAGATTCCCACTTGAGTCCACAAAAGGAACCTTCTTTATTGCCACGTGTTGCTTCAGCTGGTCCATGAACATCCTGTGATGAAAGACATTTACAGGAAATCAGGTTTTTATATTCCAAAACTTCAAAATAAAGTCTGAACTGCTGTAAAATGAGCTTGCTGCTGTGTGTAACGTTTTGTAAATGGTCACAATTAATAAACTGTCAATAAATATGAAAGGTATTCAACAAGGTATAATGTTCCATTCAATTATGGGTCATTAATATTATTGAATCTTTAATATCCAATTGAAACTGGAAGTAGGTACTTTGGGTAGCCAGGGATCCATCCAACACTTCCCAACAGTTTACCACAGAAGCAAAATATAGTTTATACAATGCAACTAATGAATATACAGAAAAACTGTAGATAAATGATTATTTAAGGTAACATCAACTGAGACCAAACTTTAATGCAACACAATCTTAGATGTTAAGAGTCTAATTAGGTGTCTTAATAAATGTGAAGTCTGGGATGATAAGAATTATCTGGCTAAACTCAGTGATGTTTGATCAGTTATCTAATTCATCCACGATGCCCGTGTGATGGGAGTTCTCGGCGATCCAGCTGGCCGCGAAGTCGCCTCGACCAGGTGACTCGTTTTGACTTCTGGGTTATCAGAGATCGTTGTACCTTTGAATCCACACAGGTGATCTAGAAATACCCCCCTGGTGGGTCGTTTAACGTCTGATGAAGTTGCTGCAGGTGAAAACAAAGAATGGTCTGAAACGGGAGGTTCTACACCGCTGAAAAGTGTTCTATTGTGAGATCTGCTGGAACACACAACAGATGGTGTCTAGCATCTTGGCTGGAACTGAATTATTGAGGAATTGACTTCCTCTTATGGGTCGGTGTTGGACCAATCAGAGGCCAGAAAATGTAGGAGGCGTTAACAAAGTCCCTTGACATCACATCCATCCTAAGAGACCCAGTGAAAGAGTATTTCACTCGTTGTGGGATCTAAGTATGATATAACTGTCACTGTTAATATATTAATATCATAATAGTATATTAACAGTGACCGAAAGAATGAGATCACGGATACCATCCATCCATCCACCCATCCACCCACCCATCCATCCATCCACCCATCCATCCATCCAACCACCCACCCATCCTCCATCCAACCACCCATCCATCCATCCTCCATCCAACCACCCATTTATCCATACTCCATCCAACCAACCACCCATCCATCCTCCATCCAACCACCCATCCATCCTCCATCCAACCACCCATCCATCCATCCATCCAGCCATCGCGACCCGACTCCAGATAAGCGGAAGAGGATGGATGGATTCTTTTCGTTAATCTGAAACTAAATGAAACAGTTTTCATGCACAAAGCATCACCATCATGGTTAGACCATGTTACTGGTCTACTTCCATGAACGTCTGGGAATGTGAGGATTATAATGGAATAGGTCAAGTTGTCTGAAAAGGAAAAGTTATGATGTGTCATAGACAGGTTACTGAACAGCCTTACTACTGAGAAACAGAGATCTGGTGTGACCTGACAGATAAGCTAACAGCTAGGGCATAACCCACTAAGAAAGGACTCTTTGTGACTTGCCCAACTGTAGCTCTATGCCTAGTGAGTTAATGTCCACTTCTCCAAACTGAAGTTGCTCACAGAACCGACTACAACAGGTAAGAGCAATTACGCCTATGGACCGCCCCTTTCAGAGAAGGCTGTGGGTTAATGATCCGAAACAGGAAGTTGGTGTTTAGTTTTAAAGAACTCAGGATGATTAATGTAACGTAGACCAGGCGTCCTTCATCAGTGTGCCACCATGACACCCATGACCAGGATGAGTGATAATGAAATATGTCCTGACTTATCGGGCCTACAACTCCCAAGGTCCTCTTACAGGAGACAAGACTTAACTCTCTTTTAATAAAAATATATTATTTTCTTTCATTAAAAGATTTCCTAACTTTACAAGTTATTTACAATCATATTCTGTTTATCTAAAGACTTTTAATAATGCCTCGACTGCTTCACAGTAATGAATGAATCAGCATAATTGTTTATCTGGAAATAATTCTTTATTTCAGATCCTAAATACACCAAATGAGTCTACTTGTTGAATTTAATAATGATTTATTCTCAGTATATTCACATATTATTACTATCTTGATAAATGACTGTTTAATATATTTACTTACATTAGGTTGACCAAGCCTCTTCTAAGAGTCTGAGGGATTTTGATAACATGTTCTAGATTCTGGTTTGTCTACATTTGTAAACAACCAATTTTATAAAAGAGAATTCACTTCCTGAATTCTTCAGTTCTAGCACGCTGTCCAGTTAGGCCAACTGGGTCAGCAGCATAAGGAACCATCCTGTACTTTGCTAAACTGCATCAGAGAAACAACTCATCAGACGTGAAACGTCTCGCCAGCAGACCCGGGATGCATCTCACTGACCAGCCGTGCAAATTCAAACGAAGCTGCGACCTTTGACGTTCCAGAAGGCAACTCCTCTTGGCGGCTGGGCCAACAAGACTTCCTGGCCAGCTGGACCTAACGAGAACTCCCCTCACAAGTCTTAGTCTCTTACCTGTTTTGACTTTAATAGTTTTAACTCTGAGTGATCCACATGGATCTTTGTTTGTCGACTTGGGTGACTCTGTTTTAAGGTTAACATCGTAGTTTACCAAATTTGGGATTTTAAAGCACTCAGTGTTTTCGTAGTGCGTCGTTTTTTAATAGCAACTTGTGTTTTTTAAAGCACCTTCTGTTTTGGTAAAACTTTTAACAAAGTTTTAACCAGGTGTTTTAAATGTTAACCTTTTAGTCTTGATTTTGTTTGTTTGGCATTATTTTAATAATGCTCTCCATCTGTTTGCACTTGTTTTTACAAACTTTTACAACAATTAAAACCATTTTAAATCCACTGTCCCATTTCTTATGTTGCTCCCCTCCTTCACATTTTAACACCTCCTGTCGGGGACGTAACATAGATGGGGGCTCAGTGGGATGCATGAGCCAAGATCACCTAGCCCATTAAAATACCACCACCAAGGATTGTACATTCTTTCACGGTCTGATGTAGTTAAAATATCCCGGACGAGCCCCCATTTATGTTGCGTCCCGACAGGAGGTGTTAAAATGTAAAGGAGGGGGTAACATAAATGTGACAGTGGAGTTAAAATGGGTTTAATTGTTATAAATGGTTCTAAAAACAAGAGCAAACAGATGGCGAGCATTATTAAGATAATGCAAAACGAAAAATTCACTATAAGGTTAACAGTTAAAAGACAACTTATCAAACACCTGGTTAAAACTTTATTAAAAGTTTTACCTAAACTGGAGGTGTTTTAAAAACACAACGACGTTGATAAAAGTCTAAAAACTAAAGCAGAGTTAACCTTAAAACTGAGTCACTCAAGTCGACAAACAAAGATCCATTTGGATCACTCAGAGTTAAAACCATTAAAGTTAAAACTCATCAAAACGAAGGGGTTAAAACCAAAACGAGGACAACAGAACCCCCACACTGCTGAAGGCACAGCCTTTTTATCCCAGGTGTGGGTCATCAGCAGGATTCAGCTCAGCTGTGCTCCTCAGCAGCCTGGAAGAGAGGAGGGGGAGGGGGCGGTGTCCGGCTGATCACCGGGGCTGGGTGATCCTGGCTCCTGCATCCCACTGGCCAGGCTGGCAGCCGTAACAAACACAAAAGCGTGCCTTGCTAAAAGACACTCAGGTGCGTGGTGGAGCTGAAACCACCTGACCAGACCCTAATGCAGTGCTGGTCCTCGAGTGCTTCCACTAACGTGTTTTAGTTGTTTCCCTGCTCCAACACACTTGATTTTAATCAGCAGGTGCTTAACAGACTTCTACAGAGCTCGATGAGCAGGTGAACAGGTGACTGAATGATGAATGAGCAGATACAACTAAGCCCCACCCCCGTGTCTCACTCAGCCACGTCCTCCAAGAAGGTTCTGGTGAAGAAGTGGTTGCAGATGTTTCCGGCGCTGTAGACCAGTTCCCCGTTAGGACCTCGGAGTTCTGACGTCTCCTTTGGAATCTCGCTGTACTCCACCACCTGAGGCACCCCTCGGACTCTGCAGACCACGCCCACCGGCTCCGCTGGATGCGCCTTCGCTATCACCTGCGGGTTCAGAGGTGACGCTGTCAGAAAGTTCTGGTGTCTGAGGGACGGTTCCATCCAGCTGACGGGTTCTGAAACTCCTTTTAAGTGATTCTGGCGTCAGAACCTTGGCACCGCAGTCGGCTCCTCTGCTCACACAGAACCCGATAAAAACCGGGTCAGCCATCTTCACCAGGATGTTGTCCACACAGTACACATGTAGGAAGTCCACGGACCTCCGGGCCAGGTCCTCCAGAACCTTGTTATCCACCAGCGCCTGGTACAGACCTCCGTTTCCATCTGAGACATGGAGCACAGTCAGAACCAAACCAAACTCAGAACCTCCTGACAGAACCCGACCCACCTGGCGCCATGGCAACCTTCCCTTTCCCCTCCAGGATGACCTTTCCATCAAAGGTCACGGCCGGAACCATCCTCTGCTCAAACAAGATGATGTTAGATGGATCCAGTCCAAAGTACTGGTTCTCCTTGAAGAACTTCTGTGTTGGCTTCAGTGTGAACTCACTGGTCATGATGTACCTGAGCAGGTGAACACACAGACCCAAATGGTGAGTCAGAACACACGGTTTAGGTGCTTCAGCTGGAGGGGGTTCTGCTTCTGCGGCACCGGTCCACTTCAGCTAATAGTGGTACTAAAACATGACAGCTTCAGCGGTCAGAGCCGTCGGAGGAGCTCACCATGGAACGGTGCAGCTTGACCCGTGTCTGCTGTCGGCCAACTGCTGGACCTTCCGGATTCTCTCCGCTTGGATCTGATACAGAGTTTTCCTGCTGGGAAGCCCAACGTCGAACATCCCTTTAGGATATGGAACTCCAAGTCTGGTCCCCTGACCTCCAGCCAGGAGCAGAACTGCAACCCGACTCTTGGAGATCTGCAGGAATCCTGTTTGAAAGGAAAAGGAAACACGGAAGGCTTGGTAGGATGCAGCAATTCTGGTTGTCCGGCTCAATCCCAATCTCTGTTTCGTGCACAGAGCAGACCTGCTGATTCACAGAAGAGCAGGAGAAAGTTCTGTTTCCTGAAACGTGACCACCATGAACCGTGAACATGATGAGACCATCACTTTTAGACATTTCTGAAAAATCCTACATCCTTTCTGAAACGGGAAAACTCCGGAAAGCTACTTTAGGCCTGGGGCACACAGAGGACAGACGTGCTGCGTCACGCCACCGTTTAAAAAATGAGCTATTATAGTTACTGAGTGGGTAGATGGGGAGCGCAGCGCCGCGTCCCAGAAAGCCCGGTCCACGCGGGGGCGCTGAAGAAAGGCACCATGGAGCAGCGGTTTACGACTTAGTGGAGAACTTTACGACAGATGTTACGATGAGAACGGCTCTACGGCACAAACCCAGCCACCAAAACGTGGATGAAGAGCTTATAAATGCTACTTACAGTATTGATAACATATTCATTACAGTATTGATAATATACTAATTGCTGTATTGATAATGTGTTAATTACAGTATTGATAATATACTAAGTACACTATTGATAACATATTAGTTACAGTATTGCTTATATGTTAATTACATTATTGATTATATGTTAATTACAGTATTGATAATGTATTCATTACAGTATTGATAATGTATTCATTATTGATTATATGTTAATTACAGTATTGATTATATGTTAATTACAGTATTGATAATGTATTCATTACAGTATTGATAATGTATTCATTACAGTATTGATTATGTATTCATTACAGTATTGATTATATGTTAATTACAGTATTGATTATATGTTAATTACAGTATTGATAATGTATTCATTACAGTATTGATAATGTATTCATTACAGTATTGATAATGTATTCATTACAGTATTGATTATATGTTAATTACAGTATTGATAATGTATTCATTACAGTATTGATTATATGTTAATTACAGTATTGATAATGTATTCATTACAGTATTGATTATATGTTAATTACAGTATTGATTATAAGTTAATTACAGTATTGATAATGTATTCATTACAGTATTGATTATATGTTAATTACAATATGGATTATTGTTAATTACAGTATTGATATTGAATTAATTACAGTATTGATTATATAATAATTACAGTACTGATAATATACCAATTACAGTATTGATTATATATTAATGACAGTATTGATAATCAGGGCCGTGCAGAGACCTCTGACGGGGCGGGTGCTCAAAGTAAAAAAGGGGCACTTATAGAGCAATCCAATAAGTTAGAAAATTCAGATAATGAGACCCTTGGGTTCAAACAACATAATAAAAATATATAATTTAGTGTCATTAGTGTTAATGTTAGTTCATTATAATAGTTTTAGTTTTAAAAGCTGACTTATATCTAGAGATGTAACAACCACATTTTTGCCCCTGATCCGAGTCCAAGTTGTTTGATTTTTTATTATCTTCCAATACTGAGTCCTGTTCTGATACCAGGTGGTGATGCAACGCATTATAAAAGAAAAAATAAGTCGTCCTTCTGTCTGTATTTGTCATTTTGTTATTTTGGTCAAGGTCAAGGTCAATTTTACTTACACTTGTTCCACAGTTTGGGCCCAACCACAGAGAACGCTCTGTCGCCGCGAGTCTTGTGGCGGGTTTTTGGAACTGTTAAAAGAGCTTGAGAGCTGGACCTCATGGTTCTGGCAGGGATGTAAGCGGACAGCAGCTCAGAGATGTAAACTGGGGCCAGGCCATGAAGGGATTTAAAAACAAAAAGTAAAAATTTGAAACGGATCCTGTATGAGACAGGAAGCCAATGGAGAGAGGTCAGAACCGGGGTTGTGTGATCCCACTTGCTGGTTCCAGTCAGCAAGTGAGCCGCTGCATTTTGGACCAGCTGAAGTCGGTGTGGGGAGGACTGGTCCAGGCCAGAATACAGGGAGTTGCAGTAGTCCAATTGGCAGGACATGAACAGGTGGATGACATCTTCGAGGACATTAGCAGGAAGGTATGGCTTCATCTTTGCTATCTGCCTTAAATGATAGAAACCTGATTGGACCACTGCACTCACCTGTCTGTAAAGATTAAAAGAACGATCTAAAAACTCACCAAGATTTTTAACACAGGCTTTTAGAAAACCAGAACAAGGACCAAGAGGACCAACAGCGTTGTTTAAAAGATTAGAACTTTTTTTAAATCTCATTCAGTTTCAGTCTAGGTCACACCTTCCTGCATCTAATCAACACGATGACTCACCATCAATAGAGGCTAATGACTCATCAGGAGATGGAGAGGCGGGGTACTCAGAGTAGTTTCTGCTCTTTAAATAACAACTGACAGCTACAGCTTATGAGCTTGACTCTCCCATATTCCAGTTAGAACTGACAAAGCTCCTCAGAGGAGAAGTGAAATGTTTTAAAGAAACCAAAGAAGTCCAGTTGCCTTCATTTGAACTCTTTGGAGTAATAGTCAATAATAAAAAATACATAATAAATTAATAAAACGTATATAATTATGCTCACATTCACTTTTACCATCTCTTTGTGGGAGGTGGAAAATTTATCACGTTTAGCCCTCTTATGACCATAAATATAACAAGTATTTTTTTTGTTTCATGGCTTTAAAATTGTAATAAAAGTGTAAAATGTTTGTAACTCTGCTCCTTTTTTCAGAACAACCTCAGCTTTCAGTGTCTGGTTTGTATTTGTGTTTATGTTTATTAAAGTCTGTAAAACTGCAGCTTAAATGAAAAAAAAACAGATTTGAATTTTCTTTACATTTATTACTAAACAGGAACTTCAAAATGACTTGAGCAAACTATGTCAAAAGAACTACCGGTATTTAAACTCAGAACTGTGTTGCAAACACTCAGAAAACAGTGTGACCCCTGACCTCATGTTAACCAGTTTAATGACTGCAGCGTGTCTGTGACCACAGGTCTACGCTCTGGTCCAGAGAACGGGATACAGTAAAATAAATACTAGGTATCATAAAATAACACTCATGGGCTACTTCACAGCTGTAGCTACATTTCTACCAGCATTATGAAGATCAATAAGCACATAACAGGTTAAATCCAAACATTTCATTACAAAAAGTCAACTAATAAAATTCTGCACTGATAACATTATATTTTCAGCTAAATAAATATTTATTGTACGTATAAATAATGCTGGAATGAAGCTGAGTCATTTAGTAAACAGTTGAGTGTTCAAATAAAAGCCAGTGTGACTGTAATCTGTCCCTCCTCATGTCACCATCTACAGAAACAGCCTTCTGGGACACCTGACCAACCAGGTGGATTTTCTTTGTGACGTTTGTTTCCATAACTTTATAAAAGCTGCTGATGAAGATGATCAGATCATCTCCTCCTTTCGATTCTCTCTCTCCCGTCGCGGTCCGCACCGTTTCTTTCAGTGACGCTGCAAAGCTGGTTTCCTTCTAATAGCGATTTTTGGAGTAACACGAATTACATCATGTAATACCTCGTTGGAAAGCTCGTTTTATGTACTTTTAGAAACCGTTTGAATTATTTTTATTCGATAAGTAATTCAGAAGTTATGACCCGGAGAATCTAGAGTGAGAAACATCCGTGATTCTTTGTGAGTTTCTTCAACGCTTCAGGAGAAGTCTCTCTCATGTCTCATTTTCTGTCCCAGACATGCAGCTACCTGACTCTGCTCCACACACACCGACCACGGACTCAAACGCACATAAACAAAAGCTCTGATATTAAAATCTATCCAGCTGACGTGAAGCAGGCAGAAATAAAAACCTTCAGTTAGATGAACGCAGACTCCTGTCCGCAGGGAAAAAACCGGTCTGTCGTCTCCACGGCTACAAGGTAGAGCGACAGCAAGGACAACCAATCACACGTTAGTATGATGCGGCAGAGCCAATCAGTGAGCTTGTAGGCAGGTCTAAGGGAAAATAGCCTTCAGCTTGAGACGGCTGCCTCCGCATGGTGCTAGTGCTCGATTTGTATCACAGTATAACAGTTTTGTGTGGTAAAATCTGACGAACGACCGGAAAAAGGGCACTTTGGGCACTTCAAACAAAAGGGGCAGGGTCTCAAGCACCCTCTGCCCCTCCCTCTGCACGTGCCTGTTGATAATATACTAATTGCAGTATTGATAATATACTAAGTACACTATTGATAACATATTAGTTACAGTATTGCTTATATGTTAATTACATTATTGATTATATGTTAATTACAGTATTGATCATGTATTCATTACAGTATTGATAATGTATTCATTACAGTATTGATTATATGTTAATTACAGTAATGATTATATGTTAATTACAGTATTGATAATGTATTCATTACAGTATTGATAATGTATTCATTACAGTATTGATTATATGTTAATTACAGTATTGATAATGTATTTATTACAGTATTGATAATGTATTCATTACAGTATTGATTATATGTTAATTACAGTATTGATTATATTTTAATTACAGTATTGATAATGTATTCATTACAGTATTGATTATATGTTAATTACAGTATTGATTATATGTTAATTACAGTATTGATAATGTATTCATTACAGTATTGATCATGTATTCATTACAGTATTGATAATGTATTCATTACAGTATTGATAATGTATTCATTACAGTATTGATTATATGTTAATTACAGTATTGATAATGTATTCATTACAGTATTGATAATGTATTCATTACAGTATTGATTATATGTTAATTACAGTATTGATAATGTATTCATTACAGTATTGATAATGCATTCATTACAGTATTGATTATATGTTAATACAGTATTGATTATATGTTAATTACAGTATTGATATTGAATTAATTACAGTATTGATTATATAATAATTACAGTACTGATAATATACCAATTACAGTATTGATTATATATTAATGACAGTATTGATAATATACTAATTGCAGTATTGATAATATACTAAG